CCTGTGAAGAGTTGTGCCTTGCTAAGTGAGTTCATGATTTGTCAGAGGTTTTGCAGGCTGTGGTGGCTTTTAGGAATGGTCGGAACGCGATTAACTAGATGCAGCTCTGTTCTTGGAGAGCTACAGGGTTTCCATGCTAAAGTTCCCTTGCTACTGTGCCCAAGAGCGTATCCGGATGAGTACAGTTATCAACTGATTTGCCAATAAGTCACCAAAAAAAAAAATATCAAAGCTACTGTCAGTACCTTTTTAGATGCTGTTAGTACTTGCAGATACCGTCACGGTTAGCAGTGTATCCACAGCGTTAATACAAACTATACCCTTCTTTGCTGCACCATCCCTAGAACTATCACACTGGTACTTTAAAAAGCTCCAAAGAGAAGGCACATCTGCTTCGTGGGTTGGGTGGGCCTGAGCCTTTCTTAGTTACTAGAATTACATGTTTCAAACCACAACATGGAAGCAGACTCCAATGAATGGGAGAAAGGGGTCTGGAGAGGGGCTCAGGTTTGATCTGGGTGCAGAAGTGGCAGAATTTGAAGCACAAACTAAAGCGTTCCAGCTGCGAGTCAAACCCAGGAATGCATCCTGCAAGATCTTATTTTTCTGTAGGGCTGGTAACATGAGCATTCAAATCATTCACTGCCTTTGAAGCCTGTGAAACCCATAATGGCCACAAAGTGAACATGTAGCAACTACATTTCAATTACCAAAGGCTGGTCAAGTACCTGGCTTTATTCTCCCCAGTAACAAAACTCCCATCGACTTCAAAGGGGTTGGGCTTTACTCCACAGTGCGAGCGCTGGGTCCAGTGAAACCGGAGATGTAACTCTGGGACGAGGTATTTTAGCTTCTGAAGGTGCAGACAGATGGTCAGGATGGAGCTCTGCTGTTGAGGGAAGCTATACAGTCTGCCTTTTTTCTGCAGCTTCACGTTAATAAATTGAGGACAATGTCCCGACTGATAACCTGCCCCAGATCTGTGTGGGTACTTTTTGAAAATACACAAGTTCCTATCAATTGCAGTAGGAATTAGGTATCCAACCTGCTTAGCTGCTGTTAGAAATCCCACTACGTACCCACGTGTCTCTTCAGCACTTCTATCCCTTTGAAGTTCTTGCTTTGACCATTGCTTACAACAGTGGAGAGTTTGAGGGTAATGGATATTTCTTTCACAAAATAGTTCACAAACTATTTCATTATTCCACTGTAAAGGTATCAAAGTCCATTTTTCTCAGGTTCATATCCATAAGCTTTACTTTGACGTGTTCCCTGCTTAAGTGCCCGAGATAAATGACCTTCAACACCCAGCAGCAAGCCTTGTGCCCTGTGATGTGCGCCCCCGAGCACTGGAGTCTGCTTTGCTTTCCCACAGCACCCAGGAGGGAGGAGACGGGGGCTTGAGCAGCACCGGGCTCCCTGATGGCGCCCTTTAGTTCCCACTAGCAGGGTTTGTGACCACAGATTTGATGTCCTGCTGCTCAGCACCCTTCTCAAACCAGTCCCTGGCTTTATAAAGCTCTTTTCCCAGGCTTTTGGGTGAGTGAACCATGAAGACCAAACAGAAGTTGGACATGAGTCACCGGACTTTAAGTTATGCACACGAAAGCTTTGAGATATGTTATATTAGCCAAAACATCAACTGTTTTCATAGTGTTTATGATACTAGGAACATTTTTGTTCATGAATGTACTTGTTTGCTTAAAGTGAATAACTGATGTTTTGTGCCTAAAGAATGCTGTACGTGCCTTTTTATGAAGGAGATGTTGCCAGTTTGAAAAGCTTACCTTGCAATTAATTCATAGATTTGGAAAGGCCAGAAAGAGTATTTGATCATTTAGTCTGGTTTCCTATGAACACCTGTAATAATATCTTCAGTTTGACAGAGAGATAATTTCTATTAGTCAAAGTCTAGAGTGGCATTCCCTCTGCTACAGAGGATGGAGCTGGGCTCTCGTTTTTACTGCCAGGGTTGTTAAGGCGTCTATCTGCCCACGACTGAGCAGGGGGATGGAGGAGAGCTTCCACCCTGTGTTCAAACATGGGTACTATTGAGGGGCAGGATTTCAGAAATAGTCTGCTGGGAGTGCAGCTGTTTGTCTGGGAAGACCTATGCCTGCATCTTTCGCCGACAATAAATCGCAGACAAGAGATGTTGCTGGTGAGATACCTGCCAACCTGTCCGAACTTGTAAAGCAAGTCATTAATTGTTGAACTGCTCGCGCTTATGGTTTATTTGAACTGAGGGCACACCATCACACCCTCCAAACTGGAGGCTCATCTGAGGTTTAACTGCAAACCAAGCCTTCAGCATATCCAGTGGTCTCCTCACCCTCAAAGGAACAAACCTCCAGTCAGCCTCAGCTTGGGCTTTTTGGCTGCAAACCGTGCCGGTTCTGTGGCCCTAGAAGCTGTCCTGATGCCTGCTGGGTGTCGCTGTGTCACCAAGGGGAGACCTCTGGGCAGCCTGGCACTGAGCTGCTGTGCCTTGGGGCACCTAAACAGGAGGTACACGACTGCCAGGAGAATACCTGGTGCTCCAGATCCCGAAAGGCAATTCCAGCAATCTCCTGGGAGATCCCACTGCTCTTGTATCATCATAACAGCACAGCGAGAGGGAAAACCGTTTGGGTTTTTGTTGGCCATTGTACCTGCCGTGCTCTAGGGAGAGGAACCTACAAAGCCAAGCGCAAGCAAAGGTTTTCTTGCCTGCGTGGGGGGGAGGCTTTGGCTTTGTTTTGCTCCTGTTGCTAACAACGTCAGATGGGTCTGACTTTCCAGCCTGCTCAGGATGAGACAAACAGCCAAGGAAGCATCAAAGTGAATGGGTGTTTTTTGATCAACACTGGAGAGAGTTTGTTTTCTTTCTCCACTTGCCCAATGACACACTGACTTGGATGACTGGCCTGTGACAGAGCCGGTTGGAAAATGTCAGTGGAAAAATGCAGAAAAAGAGCAAATATTTTCACAAATGTTAGGGACAATATTTTTTACCTTTGGTCAATCCAAACCAACATGAATATTTTTTCAGGACAAACTGTTCAAAACTCATCACTGCCTGTGCCAAAATGTATGCAAAAGGTGAATATGCACAAATACTCGTTTAAAAAAGTGTTCTTGTGGTGAATATGATGCAGTAAAATTGCATCTAATCTTGCAGCTGGAACGTCTGTGTAATTAGGAAGATTCCTCACCTCTTCCAGGCAGTGGTTCATGTATATGCCTGCCCTTTGCATACATTTTTTCCTTTAGGAATAAGAATTTGTGAAGGAGACAGTTTGCAGAAACGCTTGCTGCTCCACACATAACCATCCCCAGTGGGTACCTTGCAGCCCTCTCTAAACATAGTTTAACAAACCTGTGGATGTATCATCTTAAAATTGAGGTAATAAATGTCACCCTGACTCTGTCAGTAAGATTGCCAGTGAGGACCTGCCTCGCTCATGAGGATCTGAAGAACTTCCCTGGCATGTGATGAGGAAGGACATTTACTCCGAGAACAGGTTTCTGGTAATTCCCTGATGCCCTGGCACACTGGTGAGGGCCTCTTCATCTGCCAACATATCTCTTGTTTCTGCTTTTCCCAAGAGTGAAAAATCATCCCTGCAGGCTTGTACCTAAATACCCTACTCAAGAAATACAGCAAAGGGAGGCTTCTGTCTCTGGAAGGGCCTCAGGTGGAATAAACTTAAATGCTTATGGTAAGCAGGACATCTAATGGGCCCTGTGCAGGTTTGTGGCTTGTTGCCTTCTCCTTTAAGAAAGCCTGGTTAAAATGTGTAGTTTGAATCATCATTGTTTGATAAAAATAGGTTAATATTAGCATAGCCCCCAAACCCTGCAAATAATTGTGTCATTAGAAACACCAAGAGAACCGTAAGTTTTAAGCCGTTAAATTAGAATTTCAGATGCCGAAGAAAACACACCAGTGGTTAAATACTTTTACCATACAGCAAAGCTGGTAGAAATTCTCACCATTTAAAAACGTTGATAAGGTTTCCTGTCATATTTCATTTTTTTTCTGCATTTTTATTGGCTCTTATAAAAATATAAAGCCAGAGTCCTGATTACACTATTTTTTTCTTACCCTTTTGGACTTTCCCCTCTTTAAATGCCCAGTGTTTCTCTTTTTATAAACCTAAATTAGGGCTGTAGTATTATTACTCCCTATTTAGTAGTCCTAAAGAATAACTTCTAACTAGCATGTGGCTGTAAATACTTTTCATGTAAATAAATGCAGTCTCACTTTTGGTAGGATTTGTACGTAAAAGAAATATGTGCAAATGAAACTAAGTGCCTTTGATAAATGGTTTGGGATTGCTGATTAATTGGAACTAAAAACAGATGAGAAAATTGAACATATGTTCTTATTCAAGTTCCCTGGAGGATTTGTCAGGGAGCTTGGCATACATTAATAATTGCTTGGAATGGATTTAATAGCTCATCTTGTAGTTTTGCACACACAAAACAATCAGTCAATATAAAAAGCATGGTGTCATCTGTCTTTGCTAATTAGGGATCTCGAATGCCTTTGGTAATAAGGGCTAGTAATTAAGCTATAATTAGAAAGGAAGCAATTGGATGTGGTTTTGCCACCTCAAGATCCATAAGCAGCAGGAGGAAGAGGGTAGGTCTTCCCGAAATCTTGAAATACTCTGAGTTTATGATCTTCTCCTGCACTAGCACACAGCCAGGCTTGTTGGCTCCTCAGCTACCGAGTGCTCCCAGAGACGTGAGCGACAGCGCCGGGGATGCTCCTGGGGGTACGCGGGGCTCGGGCCACCTTCTCCCCCTGCCCTCGGTGGCTGACGACGCATGGCCGCTACGTGCCCACTGCGTTTGCATCGACTGAGATTGCACTGTACAGCCCCCCTGCCCAAACCCAGCTCTTCACACACTTTCCCTGGTGGCACTGGTATTTCTAGAAGAATAGGATATAACTCTCTGAAGGAACGGACTGTGCTTGCGCTCTCATCGGGATTTTCCTGTGGGCCACTCACCTTCCTGGATGCTCCTGGAGTACCTGGTAGACACTAATCTGGAACGTTTCATTATCAAAGCGTTCGCGGATGTAATCCTTATATATCCTGAACTCAGCAGCCGTCACCGCTTCCCCCTCTGGGATTCTGGAGAGATCAAACCTGAACTCTCGGTAGTGGCAGCGCTGATGGTGAAACTCTCTGTCATGCTCCACTGAAACAGAAAAACAGCCCATTAGCCACCTGCTTTGTTCCCTTTCCCCTTGCCATCAAACAAGCTTGCGAGTTGCCACAACAGAAAAGGGCAAGAATATCTGATTGCAGCATCTCGTGCTGTTGTTCGGTTCATTAAAGCACGTAGGAAATACGTGACACTATCTGGGCTATTATAAGCATATATGTGTTTATCAGACTCTTTTTGAAACGGTTTTACAGCTGGCTGGTACAGGGTGTGGGTGACCGTTGTGTTTTAATGATTTTTGGCAGCTTTGTGCTTGACAAGTGTCTCTGGACATTTGCCACTGATAACGACCAAGCTGCTGTGGGAAGGAGCTGAAAGAAACAGATGGGGCTTTTCAGGAGTGTTGGTTCTTGGCCTGACTCTGCTTCTGAGAACTGCACACGCATACCCGCACACACAGAAATACACAAATTCCAGTCCTTGAGGCTTTTCACGCTGGCGACCCACAGTTGGTGCCAGCTGAATTCGTCGCAGACCCAGAGCCCTGCTTTGAAGGGTTGAAGAATTCATTTTAAAGCATCTTTAGCAACCAGGGCTGTGAAGCAAATGTTCAAAGCGAGGACCTTCTTCCACCTCCCAACCATGGCCATGAAATAACAAGAAGTGCCAGAGTCCTCCCAAGACAATGTTAGGACAGTGCGTTATCCCACCGAGTGACAGATCTGCTGTCATTGTGACGGACAGCTGATGGTCTGGTGTAACACTGCTTGTGGATATTGAAGCTGAGAGATGGTGTTGTGAGAAAACAAAGATTTCGAGACTGTCCTCCATCCAGGGGGGAGGTGAGGTGTCACTGCCCCATCCCCGCGCATGGAGTAAAGCGCCCTTCTTGGAACAAATTCTAAATTAAGTAGACAAGTCAGACAAAGGAAAATGGGGAAACGGAGGTATAAGGGATGAACTGACCCGCCAGAGGTCACACCCCACGACATTTTAAGAGCTGAGGTTTGAACCAGGGACTTCCCGTATGTCCCAGTCCCATCGTCTGTCCACTTGACCTCCCTGCAGCTCGACTGCACAATTCAAGTAGTTAGCTCTGAGATTTTCTTGGCAAAGAATGTGTGTCTTTCTACAGGCCTGATTCTCTTCTGGCAGCAGTAAATCCATTGTGTAAATCCATTGACTTAAATGGAATTACTCCTGAAAAAGAGGAGTTTCAAGCCCGAGTCTGGAAAGCACTATTTAAATTGACAGCGCTGCCCAGTACAAATGTATATCGGGACTTGCGAGAGCCTCCCCTGTGGCGGGGACAGAGCGTGGGGAGCCTCCAGGAACCGGGCTGTGTCCAAGCGCTTCCACAGAGCAGGTTCAGCGCTGCTTTGCTGGCCGCGATTCCGCAGCTGGCCACGGGCTCTTCCCCCTCTCACACGTTACTTCTGCACGGAGTCCAGGGCTCGCAGTTTGCCACTGTGTGATTGCTGTTCAGGGAACTACTTCAGAGCTCTTACTAATAGCCGGGATTCATCTTAGAGGAGCTTTTTAGGTCTGAAACCCCTCAACTTTCCAAGGCAAAGGCGATTAAGTTCAGCAAATGGTTTTGTAGGTTGAGCAGTCTCAGCAGGCACTGAATGAACAAAGTCAGAGTTGCACCTCTGGCTGTAACGTCTCGTGCAGCCTCAGGAAGCGCACTCAGCCAGTCATACCCCGAAGTGGTGGAATATTGTGAATATTCACCGGTGTTTATAAAACAGCTGGCAGGCTAAAACCGCCCTTAAGTGCTAGCAACAGTATTAAATTTGCCTCGATCTCTTTCCTCCAAAGTATTCTCAGCAGAATAAGATATAAGAGTATGATTTCAGTCTCAAAGGAATTTGTCTGTGCCTAAATTATGGAGGGGAGGAAAAAATATTTTAATATGGAATAACTCCTGTAACCACAACTATAGAAGAATGAATATTATGTTGTGTGGTTTTAGTTATATTACGGATAACATCACCAGCAGGGTGTATTATGGAGAGGTCGAGCAGTACGATGTGCTTCCAAAGACATGGGAAGGCAGAATTTTCAAAGGAAGGTGGGTGCACCTTTTCTGTGTACATATGTGATGACAACTACATCAGCCAACACCGGTCTTTAGCTGCACTTCACACACAAAGTCTGACAACAAACACATGAAGATGAAACTTTTTCGGGTGCTGCTAGAGTTCACAGTGATTCCCACTGCAGAGTCCTAGAAAAAATGTGTCATATTAGTATGAAAAATTAACGGCCAGGGTCATAAAATAAAGAGCCCCGAAGTTTGAACTTTCCCATGCTTTGCAGATGTTTGGATATAGGGTTTTGGGCTGAGCCATCTTTAGTGTTAAAGCAAACATTCCTGTGGCTATAGTCATTAAGATCATGAAAATATGTGGATATGTAACTGAAGAAAGAATCCCAAGAAAGCCTTCAACTCAGTGTTTATTGTTTTTCCCCTTTTTCTTTGCACTCTGGACCTATCTGCTGACCCAGAAGTAACAAATCCTTTCAGAACTAATTTATGAGAAACACTGACCCTGAATCAACATCTGTTAGATGACTGCAGTAAATCTTATTACATAATTAAACACCAAAATCTATGTTAAAATAACGTTAAGGGTCTGACTTGAACTCATAAAAGCAAGACTCTTCATAATGAAGGCTGAAATCCTATCCTTAATTCATGCTGCTGTGCGTTGGTATTTGTGAACATATGGTACAGTATATGGGATTGTGCACTTTCCATAGACCCCAGTAATACCTTCAGCACAAGAGCACGACTTAAGCAGGGGAGCGCTCAAGAAGTCCGAGTTTGCTGGGTTTGGTGGGTGTTAGTCAGACCTTTACCAATACTGCAACTTGGGTTGTTTCCAATTAACTACCTGAGGAGTTTGAACAGTGGGGGTGGTGGGGGTGTTTTTTTAAAAAAAAAAAAGTGGAGGGGGGTAGTATTTTAAATGTTCACTGAAACAGTTGAGAGAATTGCTACAGCTCTTTGACTTCTCCCTTAGATCAATAAAATCTGTGATCCCTATTGACACAACACACCATAATGAGAACCTTTGGGTCATTCTCGAAGAACTTAATCTCAGCTGTTTGTCAGCCATTATGTGTTAAGTGCTCCCTTAAAAGTCATCAAGCAATATGAATATTTGCTGGGTATGCTTAATAGCCCTTCTGCCCGAAGAACTTGAACTCATGTTTGTCCCAGGTTCATAGTTCTTACAAATCGCTACTACCCAGAGGCTTTTGGTGAATGGTTTTAGCCCAGTTCCTAATTTCAAACATTGGAAATTCCAGCTCAGACACTGTCACAATTCAAATGCCTTGGCAAGGCGGCTGCTTGGAGAGGAAGCCAAAGCTCTGGATGTGCAATCAAAGGTTATAAAATATGAAAAGGAAGAACACCCTTGAAAAATAATTCTGCTATGGAACAGGCTGTGTGCCTTAGCTGTGGGAAAACAGTGGATTTCCTCTCCTACAGAAACAATCCCAAGTCACTCGCAGGTGATGCGTGTGTAAATGCGCCTCTCCTCATTTCTGGAAGCTGTACCGTGTTTTGGAGGCACAAGCGCTGCAGACAAATTACAACCTAATTTAACCCATGGCTCAAAATCTACTGGTGCAAAATAACTCTTAGGCATGGCGTGAGTAGTGTGGCAGTTAATCGTAGCTACGGTAGGTGGGGATCATCAGATGCTCCCTTTGGCATAGTCCTTTGGGAAAGAAAAGGTCGAAACGATGGGACTTGAAAGCTGTAGCATGGAGGCAGACAACAGATTCATGAGAAAATGCATAAAAGTGTGCAGGACAATTAAGGACAATTAAGGTGACGCAACCAAAACAAGCGCATATCTTAGGTTAGTGGTTATCAGTAAATTTGCCACACCTCTGTTGCGAATATGCAAGTAAGCTCAGCATCTTTGAAAGTCTGCCCTGGACTATCTGTCTACAATCTGAACGCTGCACAGACCGCACTCATCTCTCTGATACAGATAGGGCTCTGATCTCTCTGAAGTCTTTTGTCTCTCCAAACCGACTGTTGTGGCATTGTGGTGATGCAAGAGGAGGCAGGACGGCATAGTTGTGCAACAACGGGGATGGTTAAAAGAAAACATGATGGATACGTGTGCTCAGATGTGAAGTAGCCAGGTATCAGATCCAAAAATATGGGAAAGCTGGAGGTAAAAAGTCAACAAATCCCTGGTACTTGTTTGGACATATCCTAAAGTGTACTCTTTTCAGATACAAAACTTGAAAACATTAAGATGCAGGGATGAAAAAGTGTAGTTACTGCTAGAATTCATAGCAATACAGTTGAAACCAGTCCCAAAAAAAGTAATGTTGGACAGAAAGTCTTGCGATCCTGGTTTAACACTCCGGGGTACCCAAACTTCTAAAGCAAATGACACATCAGCATAAAGCTGGGAAATGTGAACTGGTCCCACGTTTGGTAATTTCCACAACAAAATATGTTGAGACCAGAAATAAGGGTCCCAGATATTTTCAGCTACTTTGCAAATCACTACCGGTAAGTGAAAAGCCAACCTGAGCTAATTCTGTAAACACTGGTTGGACCACTGGTTTTGTACTAGGGATTGACGGTAGGCAAGGCATGATACATGACAGCAAAGATTAGCTGAGACACAGCTTGCAGTAGTTATTACTTCCCTCTACGCACACCAAAGAAACCGTACCGTTTTAGCCTTAGTACCGAGCGCAGTAGCACAATGCCAATCACTAATTCTGTGTGTCAAGCAAAGAACCAGTGAATCACAGCAATAATTTTCCAAGGGTGACTGTGTTAAAAAATAATTATTACAGCAGTGTTAAAGAGCTAATCCAAACCCCAGGGAAGTCAACAGAAATACGTCTACTCATTTCAGTGGATTTCATGGGAGGCCTTACTTTTGCCAATGTACCTACCTAAGTATTTTTCTGCTCTTGTTTTCTGAAGATGTAAAAAATCTCTTTTTCACAAGCAAAGTCAACACCAGATCAATAGGTTCTGTGCT